ATGATAGCATGCATGACAGTATAGCGCTAAATAGATCGCCCAAATCAATAGCTCTGCAAGTCTTCGACATTCGCTGCTAGTCGTATTAGTTTTAATGGACTCACCTAGCCGAAGGCTCTGGGCCACGCATTCGCACCAGATCACTAGTGAGTACGCCGTGCTTCACATTTCCTACGACCGCTGGCCAACTTATAATTATCACTTCTCCATCTCGATATTCTATCAAAAATTACTTCAAAACTTCGCTTCTGACTTTTGATTTGTTTGGGTTAGTACAATTCTATTATAAATGGTGTTACTGGTTATGGCGTTGTCAAACTCCAAATACTGGCGGCATCTTTAAATATAAATGATCAGTTGAATACTTAGACTTCTTACTGTCACCCAGGTTTAGTGTGTCTGGCATTTTTCTACAAGCGACAGCTAGAAATACAACTCTGTGCAGAAAGTGCTTGCACTCTTGTAGTGGCATTGGATCCTAACCACGATCCTCAAAGCTAAACATGAGGTAATAAGGGAAATAGACTGACGATTAATCCTGTGCCAGAGTGTGCATGAATAACAGGTAGCTTAATGTCACTCACGTTATATGTATCTGTACCTTGGTTATCAGTATGCATCAAAATACACCCGAAAGTACTTATCCGTAACTGTCAAATCCTAATCAATTCAGATAACTTCTCCAAGTCATTTTGAAGAGATTAATAACACCTTCGCAGAATTATATCTCGTGTCTGTTTTGAAGATTGGACTCACTTTAGCATTCTTGCAGTCATTTGGTGGTTGACTTTGGGTTGTGTTCAGGCATAAATGTTTTTAAGATGTTTGCGATTAAAGTTACCAGTACATTTCTTAAGGTAGGATGCGTTTCATCGAGCTCCATGAATCAACCGATAATAAATTTGTTGAAGAAACGAAATTTTGCTAGATCTTCAACGGTCGCATTGTACACTTTGTGTGTGGAATGTTATTTTAGGGAACAAAGAAGAGGATTTGTCTATTGTATATACATCGCTATATTATTTGAATATGCCTAAAAATTCACATAATCGTCATACATTACTGGTGCGGTACTACTGTCTCTCCATAATGCTAACTTATTTCTTCTTTTCTTTCCCTTTGTCTTATGTACGATTATAGATTGTTAAACACGTTTTTCTTTGTAAAAACTTCCAGATTTGCGGATGGCCGGGGCACACTTATTTAGGGCTATAGGCTGAGTCAATCAAATTTCTGTGACTGTGGCTACATCCAGTTTGGTAGAGTCTATCTGTACATTTAGTTTGAATTGTTTGCTGAGCGAACTCCGAAGCCCATGTGAATCATTACGTGCTGCACTCAGAGTGGCTTTGGCATGTTTCTCTGTCGGCGACTCACCATCCGAAAATTTACACTTTTTTGGTCCTTGTCACTAGAGTCTGACCTTAGCTCTGATTCTTTCGCAGCACCTCGTTCGTTCATACGGTCTCTGAGCGGCAAATGTTTACAAACAAAACCTTTTGACCATTTTAGTTTATTTCGATTTTGTAGTGATAAATCCCTTATATTGGGAGATTTAAATTCTACTTTTAGCAACCTGGCCATTTACTCCATAAATTTTTAGCGAAACGACTTCAGAGATCTCCCGACCCATTAGGCGATTTTCTAGCTCTTTTATCAACTCAATATCATGCTTAAAACGAGTTCTGGGTTCTGAAAATTTGTTTTTTATCTATGAAAGACAAATAATCTGCCACTATGATCAGTCCTTAATTACTCAACTACCTTTTATTGGATTAGCTTTTCGTTAGCAACAGTAGATCGTTTCTCATTCTTGATTTGCACCCATTCATCAACTTTCATTTGGAACAACAATCACAGTGGCATTACACACATAGTGTGATCCGGGATGATTGTCGATTGTTGTTGTTTTTCCTGATAGGAACAGGCCTAGCTTCGCGAATAGGTTTTCTAGGGGTTTCCTACTCACAGATATTTGAAGGGCGAAGAAACTTCCGCCGTGAGATTTTATTTCTAACAGACCTCTTCATGTGCTGTTCATTATTTGTTGGCCTACGTAAGTCAGTCGCCTTCGAGTATACTTGAGGTGCCTTCGCGTTAGTTTGTAAATCGATAGACTGGGTCCCATTTGGTGTGTCTCGATTGCGTTTACCGATATTGCTTTTAGCAACATTCACCACTGCAGTGGCTTTGGATAGTAAGGTGTTTGTTTCTGAGCAGCATTACTGACAGTACCATACGCATCTGTTTTCCCTGAACTCTTTCAAAGCTTCAGGTGTAACGTTGGTACAAACTTCATGGTATCTTCCTTTCGCTCTTTGCACTGCATGCCCTTTTCCATAGGCTATAGACGGTCTGAGTGTTGACAATTTTATATTTTGCACTTTCAAGTCATCAGTCAAAGGTTTAAAAAAAACTGAACATAAATGATACACAAAGACGAAGGACGCTGATCACAAAAATGTGTAAAACCGTGAACTGTCAGATCCGAGAGTGCAAACAAATATTTGAAAAACTAATGTTCTCAAAAAGTGCAGATGACAAATCACTCGAAAAAAAACGATACCCCTTGGCAATTACTTTGACTGAAATAAATCCAGACAAAACAAAAAATAGTGTTGATGAGTAATTGGCGATAAAAACAATAAAACTAACTCAGAGAGGAAAATACCACTGTGTTTTTTAATTAGCACTCTGCATAACGGTTGAAAGTGATAAAATTATAACTACTTCATCGAACGAAAATAATTCATATCATATCATCGTATATGTTCGCTAAAATTTTGATGCAATTTCTTCCTTCTTTTGCAGCATGAAAAAAGGGTGACTCTTTATGGATGGTGGATGGTCATTGGGACTTCTTACTGCACACGCTCTTATGTGCTACAGACCATTCAGTTCCTCAAACGGTTCCCAAAAGCTGCAAGCCACCTACAGTAATCAAGAACCGTACCCTTCGCCTGCTAAGCCGCAAAAGGCACTGCTGGGCGGAATACAAACGAACTAATAACGATGGAGCGTATAGGCAATATAAACATATCAGGAACATATGCACGAAGGCTATAAGAGAAGACAGGCTTCAGTACCAAACAAAGCTTATGGACAAATTCGCCTCTAACCCTAGAAGCTTATTCCGTTATGCAGCCTCTCTTCGTCAAGCCAAAACAGGAGTTTCTCAACTGGTAGGTCTTAACGGCCCGACCAACAACGATGGCGACGCCGCTAACCTTCTGGCGGCACATTACTCTCAAACATTTCAACCGGCTGACATCAACTTTACTGACGACAGTTTCATCTGCAATTCCACAGGACTTTCCGAAGTGGACCTAAGCGCTGACTTGGTGTTCCGGAAATTGCAGCACTTAAGATTAGACACTTCTCCTGGCCCGGATACGGTTCATCCTGCCATACTGAGAGAGGCAGCCTCAATCCTGTCAACGCCGCTTAGCGTGATGTTTTCTCACTCGCTTAGCCGAGGCAAATTACCGGAAAATTGGAAGTTGGCTCACATCACACCAATTTTCAAAGGTGGTCGACGCAATGAACCTTCAAGTTATCGGCCGGTGGCTCTTCTGTCATTACCTTCAAAACTCATGGAGTCCCTGATATGCGACGGTTTAAATGACTATCTACTGTCCTTAAATTTCTTCTCACCCCAACAGCATGGTTTCAGGAAGGGTTACTCTTGTATAACCAACCTGCTGACTGCGGTGGACAGATGGACAAGCATCCTCGATTGCAAGGGAAAGGTTGATGTCATCTACCTTGATTTCTCAAAAGCTTTTGATAAGGTTAACCACATGTGTCTTATCAACAAGCTCAAACGACTAGGTATCAAACCACCCCTAATCGATTGGCTTACTTCATACCTAAAAAATCGACACTTTAAGGTTAGGGTTAATTTCACTTTATCTCAGGCTATGGAATGTCCTAGTGGGGTCCCCCAGGGCTCAGTACTAGGGCCTCTTCTCTTCTTGATCTACATAAATGATCTTCCTCAACAGGTAACGTCAGATTTATTACTTTTTGCCGACGACGTGAAACTTTGGAGAGAGATACGCAACCAAGACGATACACAGGCACTTCAGGAGGATCTGACTCGACTTCAAAGTTGGGCAGACGATAACGGACTTACCTTTAACACTTCAAAGTGTAAAGTAGTCCATCTGCGACATGTTGCAAACTACAGTTACAACTTAGGAAACTCCTCTCTAGTAGTATCCCAAGTCGAAAAAGATTTAGGAGTCCTGGTGCCCCATGATTTAAAGTCTTACGCCAACTGTGACAAAAATGCCTTCCGAGCAAACCTTGCACTGGTAACGTTGAGGCGCATTTTTGGCCAGTTTGACGGAAGAACTTTCCACACAATCTTCAATAGTTTCATCCGTCCCCATTTAGAGTACGGAAACATAGTACTCCCCCCTCACTCCAAAAGGACAAGGTCACTTTGGAGCGTATCCAACGGCGAGCCACGAAATCAGTTCGAGGACTCAAATCTAAGCCTTACGAAGAACGCCTCCGTTCACTAGACCTTTACCCATTAGAATATAGGCGTCTTAGAGGTGATTTATTAATGGCTTATAGTATTCTTAACACTTCTGGACATCCTCTTAAACACCTACTTAAGCTTAGTTCGAATAACAACCTAAGGGGTAACACCCAGAAACTGGAAACACAACATAGCAAGACGGAATGTAGACACAACTTCTACTCCTTAAGAGTTGTCAAAAGCTGGAATTCGCTGCCGGCCGAGCTAGTCCAAGCGACTTCTCAGGAGTCCTTCAAGAGGCAACTTGACCTATTCTTAAGGACCAAGAACAGCATCACATTATGATTTACCAATCTCTTTTCCTCTTTTATTGTTAACATACCTAGGTTCCTGCCTGGAGGATTTGGTGATCCCCTGCTACTAGACACGGAAGCCTGTTAAGCGAAAGCTTCTTCTATTCCGTCCACAACCATTTGAACCATTTAAATGCTTTAAATGTGTTAACTTAGGGGTCAAACTGGGTATGACTGTTTTAAATTGACTGTACCTATAGAGTTTTCGAAATATCTATTGATACAATATATGAGTGATAAATTACTCCATCTCGAAGAATCATTTCGTAATAATACTTCTGTATCCATCAATGATGGTAATATTAATAATGGTGACTCTCCTTTAAATCAAAATTCCCACTATTCGTCACGGAGTTATTCTAACGATCATGGTTCAGAATCTGCATTGTTGGAGGATCGTGACCGGGATTTCGTTACTAAACCAGTAGTAACAAGACCCACATTAGGTGACAAGCGTAACAGTACTGCAACTGGAAGTAGTAGCAGCGGCATTGGTACAATGCCAGGGGGGAATAATCGCACTGGATCCAACATCATAGCTTTAAGTGGCTACGAGAAAGACAAATTTTCACTAACTTCTCGTGAAAGCGAGAAACAACTAAAAATGCCCGTTGTTACTCAAGGTACTGCACTTTCAAATTGTAGTCTTATAATTTTCTTGACGAATTAAATAGTTTTTGTAGATCTCGTATTTGGTTTATGCCAGTTCAGATTTTCGAGTTTTTACTCCCTTGTAACATGAATGATGTTAAAATCTTGAATATTTTGTAAGTTAGATTAATATATGAAGTCGGAACATAAAATTGAAAAACGAAAATTGCTTACAAGATGAGCGTGCTAACGTTCATAATTTCTATAATAAACTTGCAGTAATGACCACGCCTTTCCTTACAGAAGTATGAGTTGGTCTTACATAACCACGCCTTTTTTATACTTTTTTTCAAAATATTAGCAACGAGCAGACGAATATCACACTCATTGTATAAACCTCACAAAATAACCGCTTACCTAAGACATTTGTACCCTTACAAAGTTGAATTATTCATTTTCCGTATTCTCTATTTGCCTAGGAATAAGTCTGTCCCTCAATTCAAAACTTCTTAGACTTAGTTATCAGAATCTGGAAGTCATTATTTACTCATCCCTCCGGTTATTTTGTAAAATTTAAATACTAGGATAATATTTCCTCATGTGTTTGCATTGTTACTAATTTTTTTAAACATACGTTGGTCCTTATTTATTAATTTGTTGCGAATTATATTGTTCTAAGTTGGCTTCACATTCTCGAAGTGGTCAGGTAATGACAACCAAACCTACTATCTTTAAATAGTACGTTCTTGACTATTATATTACATGAACATACATACACATACATGACGAGTTGTTTCGACTCCTGAAACCTTTTAGTACCTAATGTTCAGGAAGCATCTTGTTTTTTCATGGGCATCTAATGTTCAAGAAATTCAGTAATGTTTGAAATAAAGTTCATCAGACACCTAAAGAGATTGTTTATCAAAAGCATAAAAAAATATTGAGTAGTTAGATGAAGTTAACCGTTTTAATTCGAAAATTTAATAGTTGTGTGGAAATTATTGAAAAATCTGAATGGATCTTTTGATCTTTTGCCAGAGCTCTCTAAAGCTTTAAGTGGCTTACGGAAAATTAATAATATACATCTTCGCATGTCAATAACCGAGTCGGTCATAATCGATCCTCTTCCTAATCGTTTTATTTTTTAATCAAACTGTGATCTGTTATGTTATCGAATTTTCAGCCGTAAGGAATTCACTTTTTTAAATGAGTGTTTACCAGCCCCCTAAAATGAAAATAGGTAAAAGCCCTTAGTTATTTACTACATCGGGACAAGGTTTTTGTATACTCGGTGAGGTGAACAGATTCTGTTGACAATTTTCTCACCTTTTCAAGTGATCTTGTTTTGTTTAAATAATCCGATATTCGTTTGGGTGTATCCCACCAAGCAGTTGTAGTATGTCGGTAAGTGACAGACATTAATCTCAATAATATGTATAAAGTTTTGCTTACAGAGTGCTTAACTTTATCCGTATATACTTATAGTTACTATACCCTATAGGTTGACGTATTTCTCATGTAAATCGTGTTGCCTGTGAAAAGATGATTTTTACTATTTCACGACATCTTTAGTCTAGGAATGTTCTTATTCCACGTGTCAGTAAGGATTACTTCTCTAACATTCTCGAGAACTTGGTAACAGTGATACGTGCAGTGTTGCTTTGCTAAATGTCCCAACCTGGTTACATAGTCAAATTCCGTTGATCGGAATACAAAAAAGTTGAAATATTGACTTAAAGCATAATTCGAAGTGGAATTAGTTTAAATTTTCAGGATCTTTTTTCTACAAATAAAAAGTTTCTTCCAAGTGATTATAGCTGCCTTACAGTCGTCTGAGTTTCATTACGATAAGAAATTCACCGGATACATATAAATCTAGTTTTATAAAAAGTTCACTCTGTCATTCTTTGAAACATTTTTCAGTTGTTTTTAGGCAACTAGTAAGCTGTAAATGTATGATCACTAATATAAGGATAGGGAACGAAGTAGTCTAACGCGTTGACAACTTCACTTATCTTGGAAGTCCTATCAGCCCTGATGTGTTGGTGTCTGACTAAATCTCTGCACGGATTCGAAAAACTCGTTTGGCTTTTGCCAAATCACGTCACCTATGGTGAAGGTGAGATATACGTCTATCATAGATCTCTTAGAAATATTGCCCGCATCTGCTGGAATCATCAGGTAAGTAATAGTGAGGTTAGATAATGGGTATTAGTAAATGATGGTAAATCATTTGGTGAGGTTGTGAATCTGTTATAACTTGTTGCCGAGTGAGCCTTGTTATTGAATAACGTAACGATACCGCCAACTAGAGAGCAATGACTTATCGATCGGACCAATGACGCGTAAACCCGTACGAGCAGTCTAGAGTCTTTATTGGTCCTGCTTCCTGTCTAGCCCAGCCAGTTAAGCCTAGAACACCAGTCTCAGCCTCTGTAATATGAATCATTTTGTACCAAACATACTGAGTTTATATACCAATCAGACAGACCACAACGTACCAATAAAATATGAAACAACATTTGTACAAGAGTTAGCCAGATGTGGCTGTGAATGAGGGAGGTAGTGATTAATAGACAGGGCATAATTCAAGAATGGTAAAACGTATAATAATAGTTCATAGATCAAAATGAAGCTTATGATAAGAAGAATATGAATATGCATAGTTTAGTTATTTAACAATTATACGATAAAAAATATACGTTTGGTATTGGTCCATAAATGGATACCAAATGTTACCATTCATTATGCTTATCGGGACATAACAGAATCTCCATCGGCTGAGATGGTCGAACCATGTGTTACGTATACTTGAACACTGATTACCATGACGCGCAATGCTGACTATTTTTGGAGACGGTTGGAAGGAAGTTAGGGACGACCAAACCAAAATGTGGCGTCAGTCCGTACAGTCACTAACTTCTGGTCTGAGTCGTGTTGCTAGAAGCAGACTACTTGGTTGGAGTCCGCGCGACTATCGTAACCAATGGTTGGAGACTCTGGATGACATGGCTCAGATTCGACCACAATGGCATAGGTGTATACACTCTCTGTCTTCCCTTAAACCATGAGATTAAAATTATTTTTTAACTTTCTTTCCACGAAGTAATTCTTTCTCTGTGTATAATACTCTTATACACAATCTTTCTTTCGTATATTACTACCATTGAAGTAACTACTTCTAGGAATTCGGTGATAATCTTGTTGTGCTAGTGAGGTGTGGCAAATAGGACCTATGGACTGAGTTGCTGCTACCTTGACATGGTAGTCGGTCTAGTCTATCGTGATTAATCAGTCGAGCTACATTGGTTTGAACAAACGTTCCTCAAGTTCCAACTATATCAGACAGGTTGGTCGAAGGGTGGTAAGACTAAAACAAGCAAACCCAAGGTCGAAAGGTGAAGTCGTACTGCTGACTGTACTGAGGTGTAACAACAGTAAGATGTTTCTTTCAGACAACCAGCATAACAGCGATACTACCTTCTCATAAGGAGGGTGTGGGGTTGGAAGAGGTCGAGCCTAAAATGCACATATCGCCTTATTCCACCTATTTCCGTCTCTGATGGTAAGGTTCCAATAAGTACGGAGCTAACACAAAAATTAATCACTAAAGGGTCGTGCGTGGCCAACCTCAAGCAGTTGTCCCTTGGTTACTGTGGTCACTAAGGCCATCCCTGACCAAATTTCCTTTTCAGGTGCCGCCAGAAGAACCCTTCCACGGTGTGGGTAACCGGGAAGTGATAACTACCATCATACCTTTAACAGCACTCAAGACCAATGTATTCATCTTTTTGGAGTAGAAATTTGAAGTACACTATTACGAAACTCAAGTTTCAAGTATTTGACATCTGTTTCACCCCATCATGTTCTTACAAAATGAGCATTTCGTTGTGGTAATGTTACGTATTCTGCTCATTTATATTCAAAGTTGATTTTGTAATTTTTCATATTGAGGATGTCTGAAATAAGCTTCCTAGTTTATCTCTGTTACATTTCTTTGCAACAGTGATATCACTACGTATAAGAGAGTTTGTATCGTCATTACGATTTGTTTTTGGTTGGTGTAGACTGATATTAAATAAACACTATATTAAGAATTATGAGGCTATGTAAAGAAACTGTCAAACCCGTTGTATGCCGGCTATTTTTTTCAAATCGATAATACGCAAATATGAGACTCGTCAGCTGGATTTACCTGCATTCCAGGGTTGATGTTCACTTCGGGACTCAAACCCGGCATTGATCGCTTCAAACGCCATCGCGTTATCCACTTACCTACTGAGTCCTGATAGTCACCTGCTTGTGCAATGGGGTGAAGTTTAAATTTACTTGGTATTGTTTTACTTGTACCTTCCTGTTGTTATTTAGGAATGCAGTTGACCAGTCTCTTGTTGGCATATGCACATCCTGTGCAGATTGCCTCGATAGAGCTCTATGTCACAAGATTTTTAAGCGAAGATGGACAGTGGCTAGCAGTAGAACCCCAAATAGAACGAAACCCACGTCCTGGATTCCACTGCTAGCCACTATCCATCTTCGCTTAAAAATTTTGTGACGTAGAGCTCTATCGAAGCAGTTTGCGCAGGATGTGCATATGCCAACAAGAGATTGGTCAGTTGCATCCCTAAATAACAACAGGAAGGTACAAGTAAAACAACACCAAGTGAGTTCAATATTACATTAAGCCTCTATTTCATCTCAGATTGTGTTCGTATATTGTTACGCATTACAATTCTTAGCTTCCTTTATCTGTGACATTGGTGAGATGTCTCATTGTTACCTAAAGGTTGAGTATACTGTACAACAACTCATTATATCTTACTTCATTGCAAATGCTTGGCTTGTAAAAGTAATTTTATGAACTTGTGTAACTTGTGACGTAGGTAAGATGTCAAATAAGTGACAAGTATACTACTCAACAGTTCACCACGTTCTGTTTTATGCGTCTTCTAAAGATTGAGGACAATCGTTACTATCCTTTCAAAACATTCCTCGTGTATGTTGGAACAATCAAGTTAACAATTCTGAAGTTAGCGCAGGGTCTTAAGTAAAGATGAAAAATATGTTCATGAGGCAGCGAATATTTATCGACTAAGATGATTAGAACATTTATACATCAACATAAAGACTGAATATCTAGACGCGTGATGACGGCTGATGTAGGGGGAGGTTGGAAGAAAACAAGTAGCAGCAAATCTGTGATATGGCCTCAGTACATGAAGTCACTAACTATGGGACTGAACTATGTAGGTAAGTACAAGGCACTTGTTTGGGGTCCTGGTGATTAGCGTTACCAACGGTTTAAGGCTTTCGGTGACATTGTTCAAAATTGTACCCAGTGGCATAGGTGCATTCACTTACTGTATTCCCTCAGGTCCTTAGTTTATAAATCTTTGAATAAATTTTCCTTTTATTCTAGTAATCATTATTTTATCGTTCTACATTGAGTATAACTCTCTAGTTGACTATAAAAGCTGCTAGTGTTATATTCCAGACATTTTATCTCAGGTATCTTTGAAGCATTATTAGTTTTCTAGGAATTTAACGAATGAATTATGTCAATCTTTAACCTAGATTTCCTAGTCTTCTGACTTAGTTAACGGTTACAAATCAGCATCCAAATGTCTTACATAGAATATTTCAAAGTTAGTCCCAGTAGTACGTTTACATTCATACATTACCTTTCTTCACTATTCTACGTATGCCTCTTTCCTGTTAGTTTTTTCCTTCTTTTTTTGACTAATTTTGAGATTTTCTGTGACGTTAGTTCAACGTTAAACAAACTCTTCTGTATGGTGTTTGTTTTGAAGAAGCTTTGGTTCTACTTATCTAGACGTTCATTTTCATGAATTTTTATATCTCGTATTCGTACAAGAGTTACGTTTCAATATTTTACCATTTACTTATTATTGTGTAAATCAGGTGCGCATGTTTATGCTGCATCATATTTAAACTATTCTGTTACACACATACAATCATAATTTACACTTAAAAAGTAAACTTCATTATCCCTCCCCAATTAGTTTTATAAATCTTAACTTCAGTTCACTACACGATACACTCATATAACCATGATTCATGCACATTGTTAACACCTGCTTTTACATTTTCTCATTACTTATTTAAAAACGTGCGCATATTAATGTGTACACAAGATGTTTTTGGGTATAAAACAAATAGACATATTCATAGAAGATTCACTGAATAGTTATTCCCTTTTATATTTTTTTTACTTGTTATACATTAGTATTTTGCTATTTGATTTTAGAAATGCTTTCTATAGATAGTGAATTTAGGTATTGTCCGAAATAGAAAATACTGAAACCAAGTGAGCTATAGAAGCATATGTTATGCATAAATCCCGTTTTGGATGACTAAAGACGACTATAAAGAAGCTGTAGGTATACTTTTTTTGCTGTTAACGCTAATCTCTGATTTGTACTTGCGAACTTGTTCATCTTCACATATCCGTTAGTGATTCGTGTACTCCTAAAGTCAGAAATGACCACTCATATAGTCGGTCTATCATTAGTTCGGAGCATTTTGTTATGGAATAACACATGAATCATATACTTTTCCTTAATACACCCTTATTTTTCAGTATCACATAACTATCATCTAAAATGCATCGCGCAAACTGACCTTTTATAATCTTCCTTATAGTATAGTAATGCAACTCAGAAATCACTGGAAAAGTTACTGGTTTTATTAAATTGTCAGTTTTAGGGGTATATATATATATCATTGAACCATTCATAATAGTGAAGCAAATGGGGTATCTTTCACTTTAACTTTGTGATTGGTTTTGTATTTAGGTCGTTGATAAAAGTCTTTATTACTGTATCAAACAACCACACTTACGCCTGTTACCCCTCGTGAAGAAGCCTAGGTCTCCCATCAGCACTTTAATCTGGTTGGCGTTTTTTTTGCAAGATTTTTTCTACGGGGTGAAGTTGCCGACCCTTCTTTCTACCCGGGCTTGGGACCGGCAGTTACTCGAGAAAAGCTACAGACGGAGTTTATGAAATTTATATTATTTTATTCTTACCATTGATCATATATTAATTCTGCTTTTTTCTTACATACTCTTTTTTTGAGCCAGTCTTTTTTTCGTGTGCTGTAATCTTTTAGTTCTACACATAGCTCTGAAAGCAGTCACACTGACTAGAAAAAGATTTTCATTATTGTTGTTCAGCAGATGAAGAATATTAAGCAGTAACAAGTAATGTCATCTGTCAATCACATTCTCGTTTTCGAACTAATCTTTAGAATCCCCGTTTTATTTTAGGATTAACTTTTCTACCTAAATTGAATGTGTTGATGATGAATCCGTGGGCCAGTGGTTGATAATTAAACGTCTAGCCTTGAGCGAATGGATAGTGCATGTTATAAAGGACCGAATTTGTCATCTGAAGCTAAAATTCATGAGATTAAACTTCCATAGATTTTATTGTGTCAAGAGGATTTTTCTTTTGCCGTGACTACTCATTGAAGAACTCCGTTACCTGTCATTAATTATTTTCATTACTTCAAAATGTATATATGAGTATATCTTGTTCATGAAGAATGAGCTAATCAATATTGAATGTGCTCTTTGGTCTGTCTGCTTTTTTATATCGGTCATGTTGTTCACAAAAGTTGTGTTTTGGTCTTCTATTTCAAAATCATTGCTAAGTAATATTGACATTCGTTTGACCAGTTTTAATTTTGATGGAAGTAAATAACAATATTGTGGTTTCAGTGATAACCTCAGTTCTTGGCCTCGGCTCTCAGTGTGTTCATGAGTGTTCACCGTCAAGGAAGCCGCAATAAGGGCAGAATCTCTGTTTAGCCTTCCTTGGTTTTCAATGATTCTTCAGCTGACATCAATCCTTAACTAAAACCACTTTTAACTACATACCTGTTTAAACAAATACTTAACGATATACTTATGGATACTACTTTCAGTTATATCGGTTCGAAGTTGGATGATATTTCTAAAGGATCGACAACATTTAATTCATATTAATTTATCGGTCACGAATATAGTAAATAAGATTATCTTGATATTATCTATTTATAGTGCAATAAATTTTATCTGCAGCTATATAGAAAAAGAGTCGTTAAAATAAAAATACTTTTGATGTATTTCAACCTTTTATTGAAAACCATCAGCGCATTTTAGTGAGAAAGTTTTCCAACAACAATCAAAGCGTTTGATTGTCCATTTCATGACCAAGCTACCTGTTGTATTGACTTAAATTTATATCGTACATAAATTCCTTATTAAATGCGGTTTTAATGGGCATAAAACAATTTATATTGTAAAGCTCTATTATTCTGTATTATTTGTAATGAACTTATATCCATCCCTCTTTCCTAATTTTAGATCATTCAAATGACAGTCAGAATAAATCTAGAGAATTATACCGTACTCAACTAACCGATTCACAATTAATGAGACGTAAAACATACGGAAATGCACGTTCTAGCAGTCCTACAGTTAGTACAGATACCAACTCCGAAACTCATGTTCCAAATGAAAATTGTAATGATCAGTCTGCCTTATCAAGGTCTAGGAAACGTGCAAGAAGTGAAGTCCCTAGGATGGGATCTACTGGTTCAAATAATTTATCATCGAATCCTTTACTCAGATCGGTTAATGATGACCAAGAAGACAGTGAAGACGGCGAGCGAGTTGCTTTGAATAAGGGTAATTCACGCTCAGATATTGAAGAAGATGGATTTCATACTGGAAATGATTTCGACGTAGGCATTCGTGGTAGACACCGCCGTCAAACGTATCAACTAAACAACCGTCAGAGAGACTCATCTCTAGGTCGGTATACACGATCGACAGCGTATGGTTCTGCAGGAGGCACATTGCCTCGTCGGCAGCGTATGACAGGGAGTCTAACTCGGGCTACCACAATCAGTGGTGTTGATCCACATGGTACTTTAAGGTCAGCATGTAGGCTTGCTCACTCTATTCGTGCTGGCATTATTCCACCCCCACCATCAGAGCCTCCTCCTGCTACACCACTCTCTGGTTCGTTGATATCTGAATTAGAATCTATTGGACCAAATGCAGTTACTGGTTTACTAGATCCATTCGCATTACAGCTGCATAGTTCACAACAACAACAACAACAGGCTTTAGCAGCAGCTGTTGCAGCAGCCGGTGGATTTCCACAAGTCTTATCAGGTGTCAATCAGAATAATCTAACCAATTCTTATATGCTTAGTCGTAAGTTTGAATCATTTCTCTATCATAAATTGTTTGTTGTATAATTGACTCATGAACTCGACTATCGAATTACTATAATATCCATGAAAACCCCTTTCTGTTAATATTGTATAATTGCTATTATCTTAACTCGATTATTTTTAGTATTCAGACATTTGGTTTCATAGTGTTTACTGAGATTTTGAACTGCTTTAACATTTATTGTTTCGTCTTGACTACCTTTGTTGTTTACTGGTGTTTTTTTACATTCAAGGTCATAAAACTAAGCCAATCTTATCTTTGTATAATTATTTGCAAGGGAGAGAGTTCACTAAGTGACCTTAAGTGACTCATTAGCTAGTCATTTTTTGCTGTTCGTATGCCAGTAGTTGTCTGTACGTAGAAAAAATAAGTGAGTCCGGGTGATAAATCCAAGGCAGAATCAGTGTTTGTTTGACGTGTTATATGTACGTTGTTTGTGATAAACACCTATAATTATCATCGGATTATTCAACTACGGTAATTAATGTATGTTTTTTTGGTGCTGACTTTTATTAAGAAAAATCCCGGAATCAAAAAATATTTTAAGTGGTCGAAGTTTGCTGAAAATCGAAAAAGCCTAAAGTATTTGTCTTAAGACTATCTTCTTAGCACATCGTGATTATTGGTTTAAAAGCATAGGGTATTGATTTCAGGTAGATTATAGTTGAGACATTTCAAATTCACTATCTGATATTTGTTTAATTGGCTGATATCGGTAATTTAACTTGATGTAAACCGTATGTCCATAAGGTATTACTGGTAAAGATCGAATACCTAATTTGAAGGATATGGTATAAATACCTTCTATATTCGTCATTTTTCTAGTTGGTTTCAATCTGTTTAATATAAAGTATCTTCAAATAACTCAATCATTTACACGACATAAATGAGAATTTCATTTTTATTTTGAATTTCCATTTTTATCGCTTTTTTGAATGGGATGATTTTGTTTAAATGTCAAATTTCACCAGATTGTTTGTCTGTTTTTGTGCGGATGCGAAAACCTACTTTGCTGAAAACATTTGTAGTAGTATGCCTGTTTCACAATATTATTTTGTTTGTTGGGCACTCAGTTTACCATCAAAGCGTTATTACGTCGGTTGAATGCTTAATCTAAAGATACTCAGTCCAACATGTGTATATTTTGTATATTCATATTTAATTAGTTTTTGGTGCACCGAAATCATACTATTTCATACGTTTTATATTAAATTTTTCGCTTTTTTTGGGAGGATTATGATAAGTATCATAATTTTGAAGAAATATTAAGCGGCTTTTGTGTAGGAACCTATACGCTTGTATTGCTTCATGAAAACTTGATTTCCTTTGAATTTACATCATCAGGTATGAGTACTACAGTATCGTCCTAATTTATTGTTTCCTAGCAATATTTAGTTTTTAGTGTGAGAATATGGTAAGATTAAATTATTAATATTAACATTGGACCGAATGATCATGTTTTCACTACAAATAATTGAAGAACATTACTTCCAGCTGACGAATGCAAACCATTAAAAATTAAATTAACAATAAACATGTATCTTTGACAGTCGAAAGTTCTGTCGCATTGATTGTCTTACGACTACAGTCACAACATATCATGTGAAATGTTGAAGCTAACCTATGGAAACATTTCATGTAACAAGTTTCTTAGTTGTTTAACTAAAGCACACATAATTGATGCTATTCGCATCTTTTTTTATCATTTCATTTACTCTGAACATTAATAAAATTTCAGATGCATGTATTATAATGGACTGCTTATTTGTTTATTCTAACAATATCATCACATACTTGTTCAATAATATTTAAGAATAATACCTTGTTTATTCCTTTTTTGAATCTGCAGATAAGAATATCTTTGCGTATTATTATTTATGCTTCGCTTTATAATGTTTTAGCAATTACCTTTCTGGGACTAAACATGAACTCGATAATTAACTTGTAAATCCAAAATTCCTGTATACCTACCTACTGTTTAGAAAGATAATGTCTCTCATTCTCATGTAATAAGTTTGCGTAATTTGAATTCTTAGTTGTTCTCATTATTTATTTAATCATCTGTTAAAACTGTTGAGTTCATAATCACTCATTTGTTTTAGCAAAATATTATTCTTAATACCAAGCAATGGACATTTTAATTATTATTCTACAGTTTTCTTATTAAACCAATGAATTTACTCGAAAATAGAGGATTTCTTGCCTAATAATATCTAAACAGATTTTATTTTTGTTGTCTAGTTTCTCGCTTTATAATTTCAAAGGATGAGTCTATAATGCGAAGAAAATAAACCCTTCTATCATTTGTAAATTGCCGATTTTCACAAAACCTTTTTCAAGAAGAACCAATGTATATCGAAAACTGTTACGATATCATCTAGAAAAACAACTTCATTAATTAGTACTAGACTAAAATGGTTTCTATAGATAATAATTATTATGATATTTTTAGACCCAATCCACTCGAACAATAGTAAACTCTAAACCGAGTGAATATCGAAAATAAAACGATACTATTTGACCAAATTTCATGTATTATTTACGTTAGCTATGAGAAAATAATGTTGATGATTTTAAAATTCAATCTATACAGCTGATCGTTCGTACATTGTTCTCCTATCCAATCTTTGGTATCATCATGATGTTATTCTGGTTGTAAAATGTCGGGTTTACAACGCATCTATGAAGGGGCAGCTTTCCTTTCTGTTTGCTAAACCTTAATTTTTCGAGTTCAGGATGTTAGATAACTCTGACGTTCAGTAACAACATCATGTTTGCAATATCGAGAAGTTCATTTACAATAATTCAATTACTGTCACTATTTTACGAATGTGATCCTAGCGGCTTTCCAATCGTGAATTATTTACTGACTCTGGGACTGGGTGGGAAGAGTGGAAAGGTGGTCAGTTTTTAAAATAGCACCGTGATGTGAAACGAAGCTGTTACAGAACTGGCATTTCAGTCCATTGAGACCCCTTGGTTGAGGTTGTAAATGTAATGCGGCTCGTAAGGTTGAGACGTTGTCGGACGTGAATTAAAACAGAAACCAATCGAGATCCTGTTATAGTTTCCCTTCAAATTGTAGTCACTAGTTTTCATACAATATTTCTATTAATTGACAGGCTTTTGATCAAGTTATTCAATTCAATTCCGCGTATAGTTCAACAGAATTAGATTAAAAATTTTCAGGGTGATCGTAACTCAGTGTTTCGTATGTTCATCTCTGTCAAACGTATTGCAAACAGTATGGTATATTTCACCATTTTCAAACACTTACATCAATCTTTGATAGTTCTTATGTTGTCTTCGATGAAAATTACTGGTAAATTATCCTTTTAATGTTTAATTAGTTTAACTAGTTAGTAGAACTTGTTTACGCAAGACTTCACGGATTACTGTGTATTAATCCTGCTTTAGTAGTACCGCATGGATAACTTCGTAAATATAACATTTCACTGAATTCCGCCATTGTATTGTATAGATTTCAAAATTTGTCTAAATAATTTGTACATACATTGTAGCTATGATCTGCCACTCTCTTTCTTTATTACACCTTATTTTGCTAGCTTTGTTCATTTTTTCATAATTTAGAAGAATATCAGTTTCTTATTAAATTTGTATGTTATCTCGTATGGATAATGAATATAAATTTTTTTTTGTTAAAAAAAGTACGATTTTTAGATAGATATGTAAAATAGAGCAATTTATTATATGAATTCTGTATTATACATTGTAATTTAACAATTGTACATTATGCCCTTTTTGTGTGCGCAAGAATGTGTATACTACGTCGATGATGAACACTCTCAATCTATAAAAAAAGAACATTTATATGGTACGTGATTTTATGCCAACCCACTTACAGAAGATACGATTGTTTACATCATCCTGAAATATTTATATTTGTGTATGAATTCGTTGCATTCCACTTCTGTATGTATCTTTTTGTAGTAGACTTTGTGACCTTGTTATCTAGTGGCTCTTGTCATTGTCACTATTTACATGTGAAATTCGTCTCACATTTAAATTATCACCTTTTATGTATTCATGTTCATGCGTAATGGCTCAATACAATAAAGCAGTTTGATAGATAATGATTAACTATTTAGTTTGTGGCATTCACAATCAGAAGTCGTATATTTCTAGCTGAAATTTTAAACCTTGTTCAAACTATTGATTATAAACAATTATTATCAGGAACTTATAGAACTTATCTGTCACATAATGCTAGATTGAAACTAAAAAAAAAGAAAGGATAGCTATTTGAATTGATAAATTAGGGAATTTTTATCCTTGATTTCATAAAATTGGTCCACCTAAACAAATTTTCACGTTTAATCTGACTCGAGTCATTATTACTGTTTGTTTTTCTTTGAAAAGAGAATTAAATTATCACAGTTGCGAATTATTAGCATCTTTTTCATGAAGGAAAATAATACCATAATATTTGTCATAATTATCAAGTAATGAAGTTTTCGAAAGGTTAACATTTTTGAAGAGGAATGTATATTTGATCCTTCTTTTCCTGAATTTAGTATCTAGTGTGCTCCTACATAAAACATGGTATATTTGCCGTTCTTGATTGAAGTCTGTGAGAAAATCAGTCAATGTTTGTGTTTTTTATTTAACTAACATCAGTCATTTTCGACAATTTAATATATTTCATTCCACCCATTTCAGTTTTCAGCAGGATTTTGTTGCACCTCTTTGTTTTGGGGACATCTGTTTAAATCTCTATAATGGGTTAACGTCCCACAGTCATTGATTAGCAGCTTATGTCATGTTTTTATTCCATAATGGAGGGTGGTTTCTGATGATCCAGTTTCCCTGTGATGGTGATCGGTTAGCCAACTAATTCGGGATTTCAGTACAAAACATCTGGTGTTATACATTTAAAGTTAGATGTCAGGGATTTGTAATTCGTGAGTTCACATGATTTAGTTTTAGTAGTCAATTAGTGCTTATAATTCCAGCAAAAT